ACTTGTTTCCTCCGTGCACAATGCATCTTGTCTTTCCGTTCACGTCTGAGCCCAGAAAAGAGGTAAAGAAGTAAAGAGGTGCACTATGCTTGTTCCGTGTTGCATCATCATGGACTTCGAAACTGAAAACAATTCATGAGTTTGACACTTGGCTACGCACTCGCACTTCGAAACTCGAAGCACAACTGCTAAGTTTGACACTGGACATGGGCACGATTGTCGCCGAGACCTGCAAACTGAACAGTGAAGCTTGCAATGAACACGTCAAAGCAACACATTTCAAAGAAATCTGGTACCGTGAATTCCCAACTAAAACCACATGTTGTTCATTTGAATAGACGATTTCCCACACAGTTTGCCAACAAAAACAAGCAAAAGCCGGTACCATGATGCTATAAACTACATCCGTCATCTTCATGAGTTCAAGGTAAGCGAGCATCACGCACATTCAAATCCCCTCAGCAGCATAGAAGACTCTGCAGAATGCCAAGTCCTTCAAAAGACAAACTGTGACAAAAAACATTAACAACAGACATGGCAACGAAAGACGCACATGCAATTTGTAAGTAAGGATCGAACCACGTTCAGAAATCTCAAAAAATCTCGAGAAATGCCAGAACCGTTGGGGTGTCTTGTCAAGCATGCCTACACTATTTGCTCATGCTGCATGGTATTTTGTTTCCCCATGCGTGACTCTTGTCTTGTCCATTTGCTCACATCTAAGACAAGGAATGATCAATTCACATCTATAGAGCAAAGAGGTCAACATGGTCTGAACGTGAAACAGTGAATTAGCATGGACCAACGCAAAACATACTCTGTGAAGCTCGAGACTGGGATCGCAACTCCTGAGCTTGCGATAAGAAGACACCATCCTCTGGAGAACGACCTGCAAGCTCAAAACTCAGCTGCTGCTTCCCGAACAACGTCTATCAAAGAATGGCAAACATGCAAACAATACACATGCTATATATAAATACATCAACCGCACTGCGAAACCAGCATCAGATCATTTTCATTGTCAAAAACCATGCGGTCCGATCATCACTTGTTTCACGAACATTCAGCGTACATATGGGAATAAGAATGTTCACTCTGTGCACAAAACAATCATCATGGACATGTCCACAAAAGAACTGAGAATGCCACTCATGAGTTTGACATGGCAAAGAACCACTGTCGCAGAGTCCTGCAAACTGAAGGCTGAACGTGTCAACAGTGAAGCTTACAATGAACACATCAAATCATCAAACCACATGTTATTCATTTGCATATAAGGTCCCGACTTAAAAATGGCGGCATGTCAGGATCGGCCCGAATAGTATTTTTTGTCCACTGCTCATGCATTTCCATGAAAACATTACATATATTTTTTCGTGCTGTACTTACATAGATCCACTGCATCGTAAACAAACACTGACATTGTCACAATGCAATTCTCGAGATCTCAGGGACAGCCCCCACAGAAACCTCGAGAAGTCCAAGAAATGTTCAAGATACCTGTTTGCCAATCGTCACTTGTTTCACGAACATTCAGCGTACATATAAGAATATGGATGTTCACTCTGTACACAATGCATCTTGTCTCTACGTTCACATCTGAGCCAAGGAAAGAGGTAAAGAGGTAAACTATGCTTGTCGGTGCAGAGTTGCACAATCCACTGCAAAGGATTTGTTCGCTGCGTTCCAAACTGAGAATGCCATCACACACAGACGCTCCTACACGCAGATGCTTATTACACACGCACACACGCTTTCACACACAAACGCTTTTACACACAGACGCTTTTACACACAGACGCTTTTACACGCAGATGCTTTTTACACACGCACACACGCTTTCACACACAAACGCTTTTACACACAGACGCTTTTACACACAGACGCTTTTACACACAGACGCTTTTACACACAGACCCTTTTACACACAGACGCTTTTACACACAGACGCTTTTACACACAGACACTTTTACACACAACATTTTCACACACAGAGGCTTTTACACAGGCGCTTTTACACACAGACGCTTTTACACACAGACGCTTTTACACACAGACACTTTTACACACAGACGCTTTTACACACAGACGCTTTTACACACAGACCCTTTTACACACAGACGCTTTTACACACAGACTCCTTTACACACAGACGCTTTTACACACAGAAGCTTTTACACACAGACGCCTTTACACACAGACGCTTTTACACACAGACGCTTTTACACTCAGAAGCTTTTACACACAGGCGCTTTTACACACAGAAGCTTTTACACACAGAACTTTTTACACACAACACTTTCACACACAGAGGCTTTTACACACAGAAGCTTTTACACACAGGTGCTTTTACACACAGACGCTTTTACACACAGACGCTTTTACACACAGAAGCTTTTACACACAGGCGCTTTTACACACAGACGCTTTTACACACAAACGCTTTTGCACTTTTACACACAGACGCTTTTACACACAGACGCTTTTACACACAGAAGCTTTTACACACAGACGCTTTTACACACAGACGCTTTTACACACAAACGCTTTTTACACATAGGTTCTTTTACACACAGACGCTTTTACACACAGACGCTTTTACACACAGACGCTTTTACACACAGACGCTTTTACACACAGACGCTTTTACACACAAACACTTTCACACACAGAGGCTTTTACACACAGAAGCTTTTACACACAGTTTAAAGTCGCAATTTTTCCCCAGTTTTTGACGTCCAACGTCCATTTCGTGCGTAAGGGTTGCGATTGACAAACTAAAGTCGCAATTTTTCCTCAGTTTTTGACGTCCAAGGTCCATTTCGTGTGTAAGGGTTGCGATTGACAACTCAAAGTCGCAATTTTTCCTCAGTTTTTGACGTCCAAGTCAAGTTAGTGGGGAGGGGTTAGGGCACGAGGGTGGAGGTGCGGGCTGTGGCTGTGTGGAGCGTACGGGTTGGATGAAACTCAAAGTCGCCATTTTTCTCAGTTTTTGCCGTCCCAAGTTCCCATTTCGTGCGTTAAGGGTTTGAGCGGGGCGGGGGGGAATAAGTAAACACGCAATTTTTTCCTCAGTTTCTTGACGCCCAACGTCCATTTCGTGCGAAAGGGTGCGCGCGACGCTTCAAAGTTCGCAACTTTTCCTCAGTTGGCGTCCAAAGTCCATTCGTTGCGATAAGGGTTGCGATGGACAAAGTAAAATCGACATTTACCTCCCTCAGTTTTGGCGTCCAACGTCCATTCGTGCGAACGGGTTGGTTTCGTGGCGCTTCGGCGGCCACCGCCCCCGCCTAAAGAGAGAATAGAAGAAGAGCGAGAGGAGATCTGCAGATTTGAGGGTGTGAAGATGTAGATCTGCAGATGTGAGGGTGTGAAGATCTAGATCTGCAGGTGTGAGGGTGTGAAGATCTAGATCTGCAGGTGTGAGGGTGTGAAGATCTAGATCTGCAGATGTGAGGGTGTGAAGATCTAGATCAGCAGGTGTGAGGGTGTGAAGATCTAGATCAGCAGATGTGAAGGAGTGAAGATCTAGATCAGCAGATGTGAAGGAGTGAAGATGTAGATCTGCAGATGTGAGGGTGTGAAGATCTAGATCTGCAGATGTGAAGGTGTGAAGATCTAGATCGGCAGATGTGAGGGTGTGAAGATGTAGATCTGCAGATGTGAGGGTGTGAAGATCTAGATCTGCAGGTGTGAGGGTGTGAAGATCTAGATCTGCAGGTGTGAAGGTGTGAAGATCTAGATCTGCAGGTGCGAGGGTGTGAAGATCTAGATCTGCAGGTGCGAGGGTGTGAAGATCTGCAGATGTGAAGGTGTGAAGATCTAGATCTGCAGGTGTGAGGGTGTGAAGATCTAGATCAGCAGGTGTGAGGGTGTGAAGATCTAGATCAGCAGATGTGAAGGAGTGAAGATCTAGATCAGCAGATGTGAAGGAGTGAAGATCTAGTATAACGGCTGCTTTTTTACGAAGAACCCTTCGCAGGCGCTCTCGGGAAAAAATGTATGAAGACTTTTGCCTGAAACTCGGATATCCCTGATTTGAGTTGTGTCCAGCTGATCTTACATACATCCATTCAATGAATTTACATGCAAAATAGGCCCCTCTTTCAGGAATTCAAAACGGGCATTTCGCATATGCAAGTGGGGAATGTGTTTCTCTTATCATATATATATGTGTGTGTGCTCTTTCAATATCTTTTCATACAGACGAAGGAATGGAACATGAGCGCGCGAAAAAACGGTTCCAAGTTGATCAATTACGTTGTCCTGCAACCCCTTTTGAGTAACTGCTATTCGCCGCTATATAAGGTCGCGCAAAAGAATGGGGAGTTGTTCACGACGAGATCGCATCGGAAGATGGAAACTGATACCCAACGTAGAACATTATAAATACGTATCCCCTAATACCAAACAGCCCAATAGAAAACAATGGTTATACAAGTGCTGGATCTGTCATGTTGGGCCCCTTATGGGTCACGGTTGAGATCTACACCAACTGACACTTCCGAAGTTGAGGCCGATCACTAGAAGGGCCCCTTATTGGGGGTTAATATTGGGGGATGGGACTATACAAGCTACGTCATGCTACGTCTAGAATTCGAGGCTCCCTCTTCGTAGGCCTGTGAGCCACTAGGTCAATATTAGGTCCTGAAAACATGAACGCATGGTCCGCATGGTCAGCCTAACGAGCGTACTAGCGCCCTCCGGCACCTTGCTATGAAATATGGTCCATTTATAGATTATTCTAATAGTAATTACTTCTATACTTCTAGTTTGACCTATATTAAACATGGTGATTTTCCATAGCTACGTCAAATTCACAGAGGGCATGTGATGAAACATCTCAAACTCAGCACCGATGCACCGGCTCAATTGCAAAACTTTCTATGCGATTGGCAGCTTCTCCCATACTGATGTCTTGAACAGCACATTTGCCTGAAGTAACAACTATCAACAAGCATTAGCCAGCATCAACCGTCGGGAAAAGCTGCAACTGAGAATCACTGAAACACCGGGCTTTCCAACAGCACCAGGTCCTTCTTTGGTTCCCGGTTCAAACATTTCACGGCCACAGTGGCCACAGGCCACAAGGACCAAATGTCCCAGTGCACCACTGCGAAATGGCAAGCCCGGAGCAACAGGACGCATCTGATGCCTTCGGGTGGCCCTGGCAGCGGGACCCCTATGTGAGGGAGGGCTCTGGTTTCGTACAGGAAGGAAAACAAATATTAAAGGAGTGTCTCCTATACATTGTTTACACATGTGGCATCCTTAAAAGAATATATAATACTATATACAGTATAATACAGTATACTATTTTGATCTATTTTGATCTATTTTGTATTATTCCGAGAAAGGTGCTTCTGGTGTTAGCTTCGTGTCCCAGTGCTGTTGAAAACTTTTTGGACACGTCAAGAATCCCTACCTTGTACAGCCTTTGAACCTATCGATGGATCCTGAGCCCTGAAAATAAGCCCAAAGAGTATCCCCAACAGCCAGAAACAAAAACAGTTGCCAAACACGCAATGGGTGAAGTATGTTCATGGCCCCCCCTTCTTACTCTAGAGGTCGGGCGTGCAAGGCGCAATCAAAGAACACTTTATGAAAAAACGCTGTTCCAAAAGCGTTTGCAATACTGTGGCCAATATTCCCGAAGCTCGTGCAAAGAGTTTTTTCCCAAACAATTGCTCTCCGCCTCACTCTTCACTTCATCTACCTAACACCATCCACATTTCTTGTGTCCTTTTACATCACCTACATCTTCTATACCATCTTCTACAACATCTTCTCTAGATCTACATCTACATCTACACCATCATCATCATCACCATCATCACCATCACCACCTACATCTGTCTCACCTACATTTCTACACCACCTACACATTTTTCCATCATCCTCATCTATGCGACATGCTTTATCTACCAGGAAGTTTCAAAAATAGGAAACCTATAGGAGAGGCAGGTTGTTGTGAATCAAGGATGGCAGAGCGAAGCCACTGATGGACCCAAAGGTGATTGAGGTCTCCTCTTTCTCTCTCTTTCTCTGATTATCTATCTATCTATCTATCGATCTATCTATCCAACTATCTTTCCATCTATCTATCTATCCATCTATCTATCTGTCTATGTATCCATCTATCTGTCTGTCTATCTATCTATCTATCTATCTATGTAATGTATCTATCTATCTATCTGACAACCTATCTAGCTATAGCCATCTGCTATCTAGCTACCTAGCTAGCTGTCTATCTATCTACCTACCTACCGATCTATCTAAATCTAATCAATTTAATCTAATCTTATCTTACCTTGTCTTATCTTATCTTATCTATCTATCTATCTATCTATCTAATCTATCTAATCTATCTAATCTATCTATCTATCTATCTATGTATGTATCTAGCTATCTATCTATCCATCTACCCACCGATCTTTCTATCTATTTATCTATCTATCTACCTATCTGCCTCTCTATCTATCTCTATCTATCTATCTCTCTCTCTCTCTATCTATCTTTCTATCTATCTATCAATCTATCTATCAATCAATCTATCTATCTGCCTATCTATCTGTCTGTCTGTCTGTCGATCTATCTATCTATCTATCTTTCTTTCTATCTATTTATCCGTCTGTCTATCTATCCACCTGTCTATCTGCAAGCTTGAAAACCAAACTATTCTGCCGAACTTCTTCATGTTTCAAAGTTGACAACATCAAAAACGCAGCAATTCTGCGAGACTTCCACAATTCTCCGAGATTTCCTCAATGTTTGCACGTGACAACGTCAAAAACGAAGCAATTCTGCGAGACTTCCCCATTGTTCGAAGTTGACAACATCAAAAACGAAGCAATTCTGCGAGACTTCTTCATTTTTTGAATTTGACAACATCCAAAACGAAGCAATTCTGCGAGACTCCTTCAATGCTTGAACTTGACAACATCGAAAACAAAACACATCTGCGAGACTTCCTTCAAAAATGTAAAGTTAACTGCAGCGCTGACGGCCTCGTGCCAATGCGTTTCGCGATTTTCCCACTCCACCTGTCCAAAGTACTGCGCCTGCCACGAAAAAGTGATATCAGGTCATACGAAGTGCTGCACCTGTCAAGCAAAATCATCTCAGCAAACCTGAACATCTGATGCTCCAAAATGCAACCTCTCTCAGGAAATCAGCGCCCTGACCTCCTAACATCTCTGATGAACATGTCTTTTGTACTGCGCCTGCCACGCGACATGCATCTTCGCAGATCCTCTTCAAATGTCCCACGCCTGCCATCGTTTTTGGAAATGCTACAAAACCATCACGTTTTGCTCACTTTTGAGAAAGTGCACAATCCCTTGCGCCTGCCATGCGAAACGACATCTGAACGTCAAAAAGTGGTCCGAGCATGGTGTGTTTTGTACATTTTGACTTCTCAATGTGCTTCGCGCCACAACGGCGTGCACTTTTTCGACATCTCAACTTCCAAAAGTGGTCCGAACATGTGGTGTTTTGTACATTTTGGCTTGGAAAAGTGCTTCGCGCCACAACGGCGTGCAAGTTTTCATCTCTCATCTGGCCAGATGGCTCCGCACCCGCCGCTTTAGCGAGCCTACTTTTCGACCCTCCGGAGCCACAAATCATCGGAACAACACAGCGCTCCGCATTTTTCCTACCTTTTCGCACATCTGCATCTTCTTCCTTTGACTCGTTCTCTTCTCTGATCTTCTCTCTTCGACTCTTCTTCTCTCTGACTCTGCCCATTTCCCATCTCTGCTTTTCATCTGTCCATATTGTCGGAAGTTTGACTTCAAAACTTTTTTCGACTGCAACACATACATTGCCTACATCATCATCATCTACATCACTACATCCTCTACATCACCCACATCTTCTGCACCATCTTCCCTACATCATCATCATTATCATCATCATCGCCACCACCACCATCATCATCACCATCATCACCATCATCAATCTCACCTGCACCATCTACATCACCTACACAATCTTTTTCCATCAACCTCATCTACATGACATACATCATCTACAACGCGTACATGACCTACATCATCACCTATATCACTGCATCCTCTACATCACCTACATCTTCAAACCTATCTAACCTTACATCACTTACATCATCTTCATCATCTACAACATAGACAACATCACCTACATCAGCTACAGGTGATCAACTTCTTGGAAACTCCTACAAAACTTGAGAAATGTCATTTACACAGGAGTTGACTTGCAGGTGATCCACTTCTACCTGAACTCTTGCAAGACTCCTGCCTGCAAGGTCATTTGCACAGAAATTGTTACACAGGAGTTGCTACACAGGAGTTCAGCTTCCAGGTGATCAAATTGTATCTGAACTCCTGCAAAATCAGGCTTCTCCAGTTCTTCTATTTGTCTCTGGCGGCAGGGACAGCCACGCGGTGGCTTACGAAACGTTACCCCCTGCGGCGTGTCAGACACCCAAACGTGTGGCGAAATGCGGGTCTTGTTTGTCCTTGGGCAACCCTTTGCGGAGATCGTGCGTGTCGGATGGGCAAACATGTGGTGTGGTGAAATGCGAAATTTCTTTGCCCGCAGCAACCGTCTGCGGAGATCGTGTGTTTCGAACGCCCAAGCATGTGGTGGAATGTGAATTTCTTTTGGGCACGGGCAACCCTCTGCAGAGATCGCGCAGGTCGGACATCCAAACATGTGGCAAAATGCAAATTTGGTGGGACCCGGCGCAGCCCCTTCGCACGAAATCAGGGTCAACCGTCAAAAACCGGTTTAAAATTGTGATTTTGAAAGTTCATTCAAGCGTGGCATGAAAGTCAAACGGCAAAAAGTGCGGGAAAACTGAGATTTTTAACATCAGATGCAAACGTTCAAGAATTGGTGTAAAATTACGACTTTATCCATTTTGAAACGTCAGGCACAACCGTTTCGCGCGAAAAAAAACTTGGGAAAAATTGCGATTTTATAAGGTCAGGCGCAACCCTTTCAGGCAAAATGACTGTCCAAGGTCAAAAATTGCGATTTTCCAACGCCGGATGCAACCCTTTCGCACGATATGATGGCCGAACGTCAAAAACTTATAAACGTAAAACCGCGATTTTTTGAAGTGGAATCGGTTTTTCTGTGCTTCTCTGTGTAAAAGCTTCTGTGCGTAAAAGCCTCCGCGTGTACAAGCTTCTGTGTGTAAAGGCGTCTGTGTGTAAAAGCTCCTGTGCTCAAAAGCTTCTCTGTGAAAAAGCTTCTGTGGAAAAGCTTGTGTGTGTAAAAGCTTCTGTGTGTAAAGGATTCTGAGTGTAAAGGCTTCTCTGTGTCAAAGCTTCTGTGATTCCCTGAAAAAACAATCTGTGTCTGAAAGCTTCTGTGTGTATAGGCGTGTATATGTCAAAGCGTATCTGGGTAAATGCTTCTGTGTGGAAAGGCATCTGTGTTCAAAAGCTTCTGTGTGTAGAAGCATGTGCCGCATCTGTGTGAAGAACTTTTGTGTAAATGCCTCTATGTGTAAAGACATGTCTGTGTAAAAGCTTGGGCATTTACGTGTTTAAAGTTTCTGTGCGTATGAGATTGTAGAAGCTGCTCTGTGCAAAGGCCTCTCTCTGTGTAAAAGCTTCGGTGTGTAAAAGCTGTTCTGTGTAAACCCTGCTCTGTGAACAAGCTTCTATGCGTAAAAGGGTCTGTGTGTAAAAGCTCTGTGTGTAAAGGCGTGCGTGTAAAGCTTTTGTTTGTGTGTACAGCTTTTGTGTGTGTAAATGCTTCTGTGTATAAAAGATGCTGTATAGAGGCTTCTCTGTGTAAAAGCTTGTTCTATGAACAAGCTTCTATGCGTAAAAGCGTCTGTGTGTAAATGCGCCGTGTGTGTGCGTGTAAATGCTTCTGTGTATAAAAAGATGCTCTGTTTAGACGCTTCTTTGTGTAAAAGCTTCTCTGTGTAAAGCTTCCGTGTGAAAACCTCTGTGCGTAAAAGCTTCTCTGTGTAAAGGCCTCTCTGCGTCAAAGCTTCGGTGTGTAAAAGCTGCTCCGCGAAACGCTGCTCTGTGAAAACAAACCTGACTGTAAAAGCTGGTCCGCGCAAAGGGTTCTCTGTGTGAAAGCTGCTGTATGTAAAAACCGTTTGTGCTCAAAGTTCCTTCCCGCAAACGCTTGTCTGTGAAAAAGCTTCTCTGTGCAAAATCTTCTCTGTGTAAAAGCTTCTGTGTGTGTGTGTAAAAGCTTCTGTTTGTAAAGGCATCTCTGTGGAAAAGCTTTCTTGTGAAAAGGCCGTAAAAGTTTCTGTGTCTAAAAGCTTCTCCTTGTAAGGCGTGTGTGTGCAAAAGCTCCTGTGTGTAAAAGCTTGGGCATCTGCGCGTCCTGTGTGTAAAAACTTCTTTGTGAAAAAGCGTCTGTGTGTAAAGCTGCTCTGTGTAAAGGCTTCATGTGGTAAGGCTTCTTTACAAAACGCTTTTCTGCGTAAAAGCTTATATGTAAAAGCGCGTGTGTGCAGAAGCGTCTGCGTAAAAGCTGCTGTGTGTAAATCCCTCTCTGTGTCAAGGCTTCTGTGTGTAAAATCTTCTCTGTGTAATTTTTTCCGCTGTGAAAAAACAACATGTCTTTTGATTCTGACTGTCGCTCAGGTGCCAGCCCGAGAGCAAACCTTGTGCGGGGACAAAAACAGGCATGAAATTGTGGACATATGACATTTGACTCGCGTCAGCTATCATTCATCATCATCTCCATCGCCATTCATCCTCGTCATCGTCATCGCCATCATCATTGTCGTCATCATCATCACCATCACCATTAATCTTGTGTATTAATTATTTTCTCGTCTCCTCCCTCCTGCTTTCTTTCATGCCACGCTGTCGTCTAATGTTTTTATCCACGTGCGAGTGCCGTATCATTTTTTGAAGCAAAACTAGTTCTTCAATATCTCCGTTCCGTTATCTTGCCTGGGCAACTGTTCTTGGACACGTTGCTTGACACTTGTTTATCGGAACCTTGCTTGGGAACCTGTTCTTGGGCGCCTTGCTTGGGAACCTGTTCTTGGGAGCCTATTCTTAGGAACCTGCTCTTGGGAGCATTGCCTGGCAACCTGTTCTTGGGAGCTCTCTCTTGGGAACCTGTTCTTGGAAACTTTGCCTGCCTGCTTCAAACCTGTTCATTGGGACCTTGCTCGGGAACCTGTTTTTCGCAACTTTGCTTGGGAACCTTGTTTAGGAACCTGTCCTTCGGAACCTTGCTTGGGATTCTGTTCTTGCTTCCAACCTTCTTGCAGATGTTCTTCGAAATTTCACTTTGCAAGTTGCTCTTGGAAAACTGTTCCTGGGAACATGAGCAACCTGAAACCATGCTTGGGAACGTGTTCGTGGGAACCGTGCTGGCAACCTATTGCTCGGAACCTTCCTAGAGAATTTGCTCTTGGAACCTGAACCTGTTCTTGGGAACCTGTTCTTGCGAAGCTTGCTTGCAAACCTGTCCTTGGGAACCTTGCTTGGGGACCCGTTCGTGCCCAAGGACCTTGCGTGGTAACCTTGCTACCCTGCAAGGAAACCTGTTCTTGGAACCCTTGCTTGGGAACTTGAGGCACTGTTCTTGGAACCCTTGCTTGTGAACCTGTTCTTGCGAACCTTGCTTGGGAACCTATTCCTGGAAACTTGTTTTGCAACCTTTTCTTGGAAATCTGTTCCTGGGAACCTTGCTTGGGAACCTGTTCCTGGGAACCCTTGCTTGGCAACTGTTTCTGGAACCCTTGCTTGGGAACGTTGCCTGGGAATCTGTTCTTGGGAACCTGGCTTGGGGATCGTTCCTGGCAACCTTGCTTGCGAACCTGGTCCTGGAAAATATGAATGGAAATCTTGTTCTTTGGGTGGCTGAAGACCCCAACTTATGCTGTTGGGAAAAACGTTCCCAAGCAAGTTCCCGGGAAGAGGCTCCCAAGCAGGTATGAAGGAAGAGGTTCCCAAGCAAGGTTAAGTCTTAGGAGCCGCTTGCAAGTACGGTTCCCAAAAAACGGTTCCCAAGCAAGGTCCCAGGAACCGTTTCCAAGCAAGGTTCCAAGCAGGAACCATGCTCGCAGGAACAGGTTCTCAAGCAAGCGTTCCCAGGAAGAGCTGGTTCATGCTGGTTCCAAAGCATAATTTCCAGGAGCAACTGGGAACCCTTGCTTGCGAACTTCTTCCTGGGAACTTTGCTTGAGAACCTTTTCCTGGAAACATTGCTTGGGAACTTTTTCTGGGAACCTTACTTGTGAACCTGTTCTTGGAAAACTTGTTTGGGAACCTGTTCCTGGGCACCTTGCTTGGGAACCTCTTCCCGGGAACCTTGCTTGGGAAGGCGATTGGGAACCTTATTTGTGAACCTGTTCTTGGGAACCTTGTACGGGCACCTGTTCCTGGGAACCTGTGGCTGGGAACCTTGCTTGGGAACTTCTTCCTGAAAACATTGCTTGGGAACCAGCTTGCTGGGAACCTTGCTTGGGCACCTCTTCCTGGAAACCTCTTCCCGGAAACACTTGTTTGAAAACCTGTTCTGGGAACCTTGTTTTGCTTGGAAAAACATGGTCCTGGAAATCTTGCTTGGGAAACGGCTCCTGAAACCTTCAAAACAATTCCCGAAACGCGTGCTTGCAAAAGCTGTTCCTGGGAATCCTTGCTTGGGAACCTCTTCCCGGGAACCTTGCTTGGGAACGCGATTGGGAACCTTATTTGTGAACCTGTTCTTGGAACCTTGTACGGGCACCTGTTCCTGGGAACCTGTGGCTGGGAACCTTGCTTGGGAACTTCTTCCTGAACTGGGAACCTTGCTTGGGCACCTCTTCCTGGAAACCTCTTCCTGGAAACACTTGTTTGAAAACCTGTTCTGGGAACCTTGTTTTGCTTGGAAAAACATGGTCCTGGAAATCTTGCTTGGGAAACGGTTCCGGAAACCTTTAAACGGTTTCCGAAAGGCGTGCTTGCAAAACCTGTTCCTGGGAATCCTTGCTTGGGAACCTCTTCCTGAGAACCTTGCTTGGAAGGAGCCCTTGCTTGGGAATCTCTTGCTGGGAACCCTTGCCTGGAAACCCTTGCTTGGGAACCTGTTCCTGGGAGCCTTGCTTGGAACCTCTTGGGAACCTTGCCTGGGAACCTCTTCCTGAAAACCTTCCTCTTGGTAACATCTTCCTGGGAACCCTGCTTGGGACCCTCCTGCTGGGAACCCTTGCTTGACCTTGCCTGGGAACCTTCCTTATTTAATACCTTGCTGGGAACCTTGCTGGGAACCTCTTCCATAGGAACCTTGCTTGGGAACCTGGGAACCTTGCTTGAAAACCTCTTGCTGGGAACCCTTGCTTGGGAACCTGTTCCTTGGAACCTCTTGGGAACCTTACTTGGGAACCTGTTCCTGGGAACCCTGCTTGGAAACCTTGCTTGGGAACCTTGCTTTGGGAACCTCTTCCTGGCAACCTTGCTTGGGAACCTCTTCCTCGCAACCCGTTCCCAACCTCGCGCCGTGCGGATCTGGCTGCTCCGAGGGATTCTCTTGGAAAAGGAAACTCTTCCTGGGAACCTTCCTGGGAACCCGGTTCCTAGCGGATTTGGCTGCTCCGACCTGCTCCGGAACCTTTACTATGGCTGAAGACCCCAAGCTTACGCTGTTGGGGAAAAATGAGATGGCCGATTGGGTCTGCGAAGTGGGGAAAGTTTGTGGACATTTTGGCCAGTCAGTGCTAAACTCGGCGACTTGCTGCGGGCTCACAGCTTTTGAGCCCATCTACGCATTTCTGCTGTCATGAATCCATCGTGATTAGTCACTTGCAGGTAATCAGCCCAAATACGGATAGAAAGAACTGATATAGAAAATGAAAAACATGTCTTAAGCCAACAAACCTTATCATACAAGCAAACACTGCTAGATTCCATGCTCATTTTTCCTTTCTTGTATCACCATGCCATGTGAATAGCATACGTGAGTTCTGAGTTCAAAGGGCTATATATTGCGATTGCCATCATGTAAAAACAGATTAAACCGCATTAGCTATGGCCAACCATTGATCCCAATTATACATCCACCATGAGGTATTTAGGATATTCAATCGGCTCCGCCATCCCTGTCCGAGCCTGGCTCACCCGACTTTCGCCCCAACGTCCTGACGCATCCGTTCCATGGCCGCGCTGAGACGCTCCGCGCAGTCTGCCTCCACGCTGCACTGAGGTTTTCGATGCGTCACCAAGCCCAAGAGACTGGAAAAACTCCTGCAGGACATGTTGTGGGCGTCTCTGAAAATGATGAGTCACAGCACTGGCGTTTTGCCCTAAAATTAAAATTGTCAGGTACCAAACCCATGAATACTTGGCTGAAATCAAGCTTCATGCGCGACAACGTCTTGCAAAGTGCCCGGATCTCTCGTTCGGCCATGGATGGAAGTCGTAGCCCATTGGCTTCGGCCGTGAGAATGCTGATCACTTCCTGCGCTTCCTTCAGCATGCCGATCTCCTCCGCTTTGGCCGTGCAAAGGTGTTGCATCAGGGCAAGCACTTCTTGATGGCTCAAGGCTTGCCTGGTTCTGAAACGTGCTGAAAATCAAATCGGATCAAAACAGGACATTTTGAAACCACCAGCTAAACAGCAAACACAAACAAAAAAAACTATATAATATGTTGAAAACACCAGCCAGTTGCATGATGCTGCGCTGCCTCTTGTCAAGTTTGGGTGCTCTCTGCGTGTGGGGAAGGTGGCAGTACGTGCAGGCATCGCCATTGGAACAATGTCCTTGCAGGAAGTAGATGCATTGCCGACGGCAGACCTCTGGATGCCCCAAGCTACCGGGACTTATGGCCTGTTCGGCCTGCCTAGCCACGGTAGGGATGGATATCGAAGGCTCTAAGGTGCTACCGTCCGAGGTTGGAGAGCCATCACAGCCGCCGACATTCGTTGGTGAAAAGGATGGACTTCGCAAATCCAGAGGGCTTTTGGCCTGCCACTGCTCGGAGAGATTTTCCACATAATTCTGCATGGAAACCTCGACGGTTGGGAGATCCTCTTCTTGTTCCATCAGGTCACACACCCGAAACGGTGGCAAACTGTTAGCACGTCTCTGTGGCACCTCCGATGTCTCGTCATCGGCATCAATGAAACCTGTTGGAAATGCCCGGGCCAACATGACATTTTTTTTTGATAGTTATGGCTTAGCATGCCAAATGAGCTGTGAAATGCCCAAACCTGCCCATCTTCCATGACATAGTAAACTACGATTTAAAAAAAAACATCAATGAGTCAACATGCCACGAGGACGAACAAAACCATACAGTAACATGAGCTTTCGCGACCTTTCGAGAAACAACTTTACTTCTGCGATCTTTCGCGAGCCAGCATTTCCCTTTCGCAAAAATGCTGAAGGACAACTCCCTGTTTAAAACAATCTGTCGAGGTTTTTTTTCGTGGCTCAGATGGATTCTCATGAAATCAGGGACAAAAAATCGGTTGTATAATATGTTTTCCGTGTTTTGCCTGATCCTCTTTCAACTGTAGAGTTTATTGCACATGTTTTCTGATCCTGTTTCAGCATAGATCGAGTCATAGAGTTTATTGCACGGTCATTATTTCATCAGTGCGACCTCAGGTGCTTAAAACTGCAAGAATATGCAAGAATTTTCTGGCCGGAAAACAAACTTTCAGAAGTTTTCAAAGAAGTTTGCAAAGCGTTCTATATATATCCCTTCCCGTCCCATCAAAAGGTGCAACAATTGCACAGCCCATCGCAACCCAGAAGCTGTTGCGGTACCTCAGCTTCAGAAGGGCCATCGAATGCAAACGATGTTGGGAAGCGCAGCCGTAAAGTGTCGGACTGAGCCCAAGTCTGCGAAGGTCAGTGTCCGAAGGATCGGTCACAAGGTGGGTTCCCCCAGTTAGAAGTTAGTTTGTAAAGCCATATGCACCCCATGAAAAGAAGATACGTCATGAATTATCATGAATTATCATGATATATCTATGAAATTCTATGAGCTATACAACCCATAATAATTAACCGTTAACATCGTTAACCCAGGCAAAACAACCAACTTAGCTATCTGGATCTATCTGGTGGGCTCACCTTTCAAGATCACCACTGGAGGCCCTTTTTTTGGGGGGGCTGCAGGATCCCCGTGTGCTGCGGCCGTGGAATGGTCGCTTCATCGTTGCCTCGTTTGAGGACGACGAAGCTATAGGTTTTAAGTGCGTGAACACAACTGCGCGGCTGGAAAAAACATGGAACCCCCCGGGTGGCCGTTTTGGGATAGGCACCCCTGCTAACCATGATTCCAGTGAGGTTGCCGTGAGCTCCTTTATAAATTCACCCAGAACAAATTGCGGAGTAAGACAAACTACACCTGCAATTAACGCCATCCTGAAGGTGCCAAATCCGAGTTTTCTTCCATGGTTTTCGGTGTGTTGATCCCCCTTCGAATCAAGTCATTACCCCGCACTCCCTGATTCTATAGGTATAAAACGCCCCGCCTGTATAGAATCTACAAACGAAATCAAAGCGGCCCTCTGTAGAATGTACGAGTACGGGGTACTGACTTAATGCAACATTTTGTGGAATTCCCCTCTATAGAATCAGAACCACCATGTTCTGACATTTCTCAAGGGGTCACTTGTTCCAAATTTGGTTTGTGAACCCTATAGAGGGGGGGAGGCGTACTCCAGCAGGCAGAATGCACGCCGTTTTTCTCAATGTTGAGTTGGCCCATCAAATTACGTTTCGCGACATGATTTTTAAAGTCCTTTGAAGACAATAAGCGCTGTTTTTTCCCCTAGTTTTCCCTATCATTTCACTATTATTTCCCTATAATGTTCCTATTCTTTCCCCATTATTTCCCTATTATTGTCCTATTATTTCCCTATTACTTCACTATTAATTATTTCCATATTACTTCCTGTCTGTCTGTCTGTCAAGCCGTGCGCCGCGCGGCGCGTGGGCGGCTCCAACTCCATACATATGCGCACAACATGCAGACTAAAAACTTAAAGGCATTGTGCTACAAGGCAGCCTGACTGGCCCCAATCGATTCATTGGTTCAAAACCAGTTGGCGCCATTGCTTTTCATTCTGGACAAAAAATAACAGATTGCGAGTACTACCTGTAAAGGAAAGTGCTAAAGAAAAAACTTCAGGTATCCACTCTTTACGAGGCCGGCCTACCCTTCTCAGATATCGAGATGTAGCAGCAGTGTATGTGCCAGGTTCAAACGAGACTTGTCTCAGAGGGTGGTTCGGGTGGCAACGCAGAATCTTTCCCAAAAGCAACAGCTGTTTTCGTTCAAGAAGTTTGGACATTGGAACGTGCGCACTTCGTTGCCAGACTTCAGCGTTGGATGTTCTGGACAAGAAAGATGGCTGTATTCCCAAAATAGAACGCAAACATCTGTTCTGGAAACCATCTAAGCGACGTTTTTCTTGCTTCGTCAAAACCAATGCGCACAGGCTATAGAGGAGCCTTGATTCAACCACAGTTTTGTAAATCTGCACTTTTTGGCGGTAGTGTAGCGATGAATGTTTCCAAACCTTCTGCAGTGCCGCAAAATCACTTTTGGCAATCCCAATGCGTCTTGATAGTTCGTTGCCGTGCTTACCATCAGCAGTCATCATCGTGCCCAAGTACATCATACATTGCTGTGTCTGTATGCACGTGTTGTCTGGTAAACGAATATCAGGATTGCAACGCGCACCTAGGAGTTGGAATTTGCCATAGTGAAGTTCCATGCCATACTTGCGACCAGCTGCCGCTACAGCCTGCATGTATTCAGTCAAGTACAAAGTGGATACTCCCATCAACAGCGTATCATCTGCATAGACAACGTCAGCCAAATCCCCCCGTTCAAAAGCCTCCCTGGCATCCCCCTGCAACATGCTGAGCGCATCGTGCATCAGGACGGACATGAGGATAACAAAAATAAGGGGACTTAAAGTGCAACCTTGGGAAATTCCAGACATTTGGCTATGTAGGGCAGAAGTCTCACCACAGTCTGTGACGAAGAAATGTCTGCTTCGCATCATCGCACCGATCATGTGAACAAAACCTTGTGGCAAACCAAAACGACGTAAAGCATCGAGTAAGCTATCAACATGTACACTGTCAAAGGCTTTCTTCCAATCCAAAGCAAGCAGTTTGATCTGTCCAAAGCGGGCTGCACAAGCATTTTCGACGTGTCGTCTAGCAATATAAATAGCATCTTCCGTACCGTAACGCGGTCTGAAACCAAACTGAGTTTTCCAAAGCGCACCCAAAACCCCACCACCAACGAGTCTGTTTTTGAGCATTGCTGCAAACATTTTGTAGGCAATGCATAAAATGCTGATGGGCCTGTAGTTGTCACACTCAGCAGGATCCCCCTTTTTGAAAATCAAAGCCATGGAAGCAGTAGACCAAGTTTGCGGCACTGTTTTCTGTTCCAAACATCGGTTGCAGAAGTCCAACACCCAAAGCATTTCGGCAGACCCAGAAGCCAAAAGAGCTTTGAACACTTCACTTGGGATATCACCTTGTTTGGTAGCTTTGTTTGGGGCAAGCCTTGCAACAGCAAATTCGAGCTCCTGCATGGTGAACGGGTCTAAGCTCACTGGCAATTCCGCACGAAGCGGTGGCTCAAGATCCGGGATCAAAGTTGCAGGAGGAACCCTCCACTGTATATTTTCCAAATGTTCTGCAAAAGTTTCAGCGCGGAGATCAGAATCCACAAGTTCCCCACGACAATTCTTTAAACGACCTTCTTGCTTACGAGGACCCTTTTTCAAATACTTGACTGCATTCCAGCCCTGCGACGCAACCAAATTCTCCAACCAGTCTGCTTTGTCTTTGCGCACAGCGACTTGGACAGTCTTCCTAAGGCGTTTCTCCTCTGGCCAGTTCCCATTTTCCCTAGCTGAACGCTTGGCGGAAATCAACCTGAGAGTACCTGAGCTAATCCATGGTCGTTTTGCGACAGGAACATTGACAGGAACAACCTTGGCAACTGACGAGTTCACTCTTTCACACCAACCCTCCCAAGCGGCATCTATGTCTACATCCACCGGACTGCTGGCAGGAACTGCTTGCAGTTCCAAGGCTAAGCGATGTTGTGTTGCAGGGTCTTTCAAAGCAGAAAGGTGCAAGCGGCTGACACGCTTAAGCGCTGTTTTTTCCCCTAGTTTTCCCTATCATTTCACTATTATTTCCCTATAATGTTCCTATTCTTTCCCCATTATTTCCCTATTATTGTCCTATTATTTCCCTATTACTTCACTATTATTTCCATATTACTTCCTGATTGTTTCCCTATTATTGTCCCTCTTTTTCGCTACTATTTCCCTATTATTTCTCTATTATTGCCCTTCTATTTCCCTATGTTTTCATTATTATGCCCCTATCATGTCCCTACATTTTCCCTATTATGTCCCTATTACTGCATTATTATTTCGTTATTATGTCCCCATTGTTTCCCTATTATTTCCATGTTTTTCCCTTATGTTTTCCCTATTTGTTCACCATTTGTTCTCCTAATATGTTACTATTATTTCCATTATGTCCCTATAATTTCCCTATTCCTTCCCTATGTTTTCACTATTATGTACCTATTATTTTCCTTTATTTTCCCTATTATGTCCCTATTATGTCATTATTACTTCGCTATTATTTCCCCATTGATCCCCATTGGTTTCCCTATTATTTCCATGTTTTTCCATTTTTTTCCCTGCTATTTCCCTATTTCCCTATTGTTTACCTATCGTTTTCCCTATTATGTCCCTATTATTTCCCTAGTTTTTCCTGATTATTTCCCTGTTAGTTCCCTATTTTTCCCTTACTATTTCCACTAGTTGTTCTTTATTGTTTCCCTATTATTTCTTTATTATGTCCCTATGTTTTCCCTATTATGTCCCTATTAGTTCCCTATTATTTTCTGTATTATTTCCTATTATTTCCCCATTATTTCATTCTTATGTCGCTATTATGTCCCCATTGTTTCCCGTATTATTTCCATGTTTTCCCACTATTTTTTCCTTATTTGTTCCCTATTATTTCCCTATTCTGTCCCTATTATGTCCCTATGTGTTCCCTATGTTTTGCCTATTATTTTCCTGTTATCTCCCTATTTTTCCCTATTATTTCCCTATGGTTTCCCGATTATTTCCCTATTATTTGCCTATTATGTCCCTATTTTGTCCATGTGTTCCCTATTATTTTCTTGTTATTTCCTATTTTTCACATATTTTTCCCTATGGTTTCCCTCTTATTTCCTTATTATGTCCTTGTGTTTCCCCTTTTTTTCCCTATTATATCTTTATTTTTTTCCTATGGTTTTCCTATTATTTCCACATGTGTTCCCTATTATTTCCGTATGTTTCCCTATTATTTCCATTATGTCCCTATAATTTCCCTTTTATGTCCCTATTATTTCCCTATTATTTCTCTATTATTGGGTGAAAACATGAAAGCTAAACAATCTCTCCCAAAATTACCTGCACAAAAATGCTAGAAAAAAGAACGCAAAGTACTAGTAGTGCCAAAAACCCGTAAATCCCAAAATGTCGTAGTCACATTCTTTGGACCGAACTTGTCCCATCCATTTTCTATATGGTCGCTGGTGGGGATCGCTGCCACTGGCAAAATCCACTGAACCGAGTACAACCCACCAAAAGCCCAGAGTTTTTTAAAACTCCTCAGATTTGGCACCAGGATATACCAGGATTAAGTATCGAATAGTAAAAATATACCACAAAATCTAGTTAATCTAGGCAAATCAACCGAGAGTCTCTGGACCCACCTTATGGGTTTGGGTTCCATG